ACAGGGCAAGTTGTTTTGATTCTGCTGTTTTGCTTCATGGCTGGGGCAGGGACAAAGTTTGGGAGCTGGGTGTGGGGGCAAAAGGGGAGAAATTTGGCAGCCTCTTTACTAGTGGAGTAAGTTGAGAAAGATATTTTTTTCTTTTGTATACAGTTAAAAATTCAGATTTATTCTATGAACGTATTTCTAACTACAACCCTCAGTATAAATGAAAACTTCCCTGTTGTGTTTATAAAACAAATCATATCTACACTGCTGGAAGGCAAAGCCCAATGCTGGCACAATAACACGCAGGGCAGGTTGAACCAGTTCAGCACAGCTGAACTTCTGAACCAGAGCTGGATCACATCCCACACTTTGACGCATAGACGGAGATGGCCACATGACTTCCCTCACTAGATCACATAAAAACACCCCCAAAGACAGTGTCTGGAGCCTGCTTAGACCCAGGGGGCTGAGCATGACAGAGGAGTTGTTTCCAGAAGCAGTAGCCAGGTGACAAGCCAGAGAGGAAAACCTACAGCCGTGTACAACTATGGGATCAGTGGGAACTACTGGAAGTAATTCAAAAGGTCTTCAATGACTATATCTGAAGGGCAAGAGGGGGATGAATAACTATGGCTTTGATGCACAGCATTGATCCCTCATGGCAAATCTCAGTAGAACCACCAAGAGTGCTTTGTGTGTACTTGCCTAAAATCAACTTTTCTAAATATCTGAAGAGTGTAAATGGTGGAGAAGAGACTGCATCCAGGAACTGGCATGTGGAGATGCTTCTGTCAGGTCCTTCCTTATCATGAGCCAGCCCAGTCCCACCTGCAATTAGTTTGCATTGCCATGGCCATAGCTAAGAAGTGTCTTTGTATCTGCTATCACTAAGGCTTGACCCAATGCCGAATTGCCCAGGCATGGATGCAGCAATTTTACCCCATGCTCCCTCTTTGGAAAGGACAGAAATGCCTCTGACTAGAGAGACACTCAGAGGTTTGGCTTTCAGCCCTCTGTAAGGGCCTTTGCTACAGAAGGGTATCTGAGGTCTGCTTGCTAGAAGAGAAAGCTGAAGACTTCAAAGGTCTCTCTAGCTTCCCATGGTGAAGCCATCATTTAGGCTGTTTAGCACCAAAGATTAGATTTGGGTTGTTTTCCAATAACCTACTGCATCATCATTTACTCACGTTACTAATAGTCCAGCAGATCTTGATGACCTTTGCAAAAATAACATCAAACTAGATTGACATATTTGGTTTAGAAGATGCTAATCAATATCTATTTTGTTAGCCAATATGCTTATGTCTCCTGTTATTGTGATTTATTTCGTTATTGTTGACCAAAGGTGATTGAATGGGTGATAACAGTACTGAAAGTGGCAAGGGTTAATAAATGCAGATGAGGTTGTCATCTTATTACCAGAGTGCAGGAAGTGAAGCACAGCCATTTAATTAACCTAGTCGCAATGAATTTTATGCAACATGCAGTTAACACTTCATCTATTAAAACCACGAAGCAGATGGTTGTGAGCAGTTTTGTCTGCCATAAATAGGGTACCAATTTAAATTACTCGCTGCACAGGATTTTATAGGACAAAATTATCTAGATATTAAATGGTGAGATATTTAATAATCTCTTTCTTTTAAGTCATGGATATATCAGAGTCTTGGTTCAACAGTAGAAAACTCAATTATTTCCATGAAATTCCCAAAATGGAGAGCTTAAAAAAAAAAAGAAAAAACATTGATGAATTGTCATTTCTTCAAACTCCAAGGCCTTTAGTCATCATCTATGCTAGAGAATATATACTCCATTATAAAGTTTTATCCTACTTTCTCTATCTGCCTAAGAGATTTTTATTATTCACATAAATGGATAATCCTAGTTGACTATTTAAAGGCCACATTTATCAATAGACTGGTAGTTTCTCTCTTGCTCTTGAAAAATGATTGTGATAAATATTACAAAATTTAACATTTTCCTTTTTATTTCCCACAGTTAGGGAGAGTTATACGAGCACATGACTGCACATATGGGCAAGGGGGCTGGATATCAAGGGCACTGCAGGCAACTTAGTGCCTGAAGCTGAGTAGCTGCTTTGCTTCCCTGTCTTTTATCCTAGGGAGGGCAATGTAAACTTAAAAAAAACCAACCAACCAACCAAGCAAAACTAAACACAGTTGTGTGATATGGCTTTATACGCACATAACAATTGAGACACTTCTGGAACTTGCCAGCTCTTGAAATCATTTCCTGCACAAAATTGCTGCCCTCATATACAAGGCACAGGAAGAAGCAAAAAGGCTCTTCTTGATTGCCTCAGGACAATGTGAAACCCATTTTTCAGCAGAGAAGCAAATGTTTGTTTGAAATCAGAGCAGAATCCCAGGAATAAAAGCAAAGCCTGAGACAGCAGAGCAAGTAGGTTGCTGCACACCCAGAATTGTGCAGCTCCCACAGTCCCAGGCAAGGGCAGAAAATTGTCTCTCCACTCCTTCAGAAAAAACAAATCTGACGGACTTTCCTTTGGCATTCTCCTTCTGCCTTGGAAGTCAGAGGCTTGACAACAAGGCTATGCTTCTGGTGAATAGGGTTCATTAAGCCCGAAGAAAGCCAGAGGGTGTGCATTCATTTGTTTGAATGACTCTCGGAGACTCCTTTATTTGAATGACTTTTTCCTTAGAGAGGCAGAAGGCAAGTGTGTCCTTTGTCACCTCCTCTGATTGCTCTGTCCACTGAACCGCTAGCAATAGCTATCAGAAAGTCTCCAGAGATTTGAGGCATCACAATTCATGACAAAGGACATAAATTGCTCTTTTCACAGATGACATCCTGCTTTATCTCAGTAAAACACAAATCTCTGTTCAATGCCTGAAGAAGTCCTGGAGCATTACTTCACTGGAGCAAGGCTTCATGGAAATATGACTAAATCAGAGGTGATCCTTACACAATCATCCAGTGAGATTTTTTTCATTCTCTGTGCTGTTGACCCGCAGGAGAATTCAACTATTTAATGGTACCAGCCCCACCCTGCTAAGCAAACTACCACAGTTCTTTTTCAACCCTTCATATCAAGGCCAGAAAGGACTTCATTTGCTATTGAACGTACTAACACAGATTTGGTTCAGCTGTAAGAAAAATGAGTCACATGATCCTGAGTGGTAAATAACATGCAAAAGAGACCAAGAATCAAGTTTCTGAGGCTCAGCAAAACCAAAATAAAAGTGAAGGCTTACCCTAATGGGGACATGTGATGAGCAGGCAGAGTTATTGCTCTCTTGGGAAGGGCATGCAGAGCTCCCAGCATCAGCCCCTCCACACAAGGAGCCGAGGGGCACTTGACTACTCTTTCTTCCTTCACATTCAGTTCACAGCCAAGTCTTATGGATTTCTTGAGGAGTACAGGCAGATCTAGAGACCACGCCATCACTTCTGGGAGAAGGACAATCACCTTTGTGCAGCCACACACATCAAGGCCCCCACAGATTGCCAAAGCAGCAGGCCACAGTGCATAAAAGGTAGGAAGGAGAAGAATGAGGAGCAGAACATGGTCTTTGTTCAAGAGTATAACCAAATAAACTTTGAACAGTTCAAAACTAATTTTTATTTGGTTTCCATTCAAACATACTATAAGTTAGTTCCTTCCTAGCAGTTGCTGCTGAAGAGAAATGGATAGCCAGCTGGTTGGCGACCATGCCCTAAGTCACAGAAGCTACCACTACTATAAAGGGGATCTCTGCCCTTTTCACCTAGAAATAATAATAAAAAAGGTGTGTTAGTGCAAGTTTGACAGTAGCAGTTTTTAAGATGCAGTGATTTACTGTCAGTCCATGCATACCAAACCACATCAATATCCACAGTCTGATAGTTTCCCCTTTTTCGTAAAACATCATTAACAGGATTTCCTATAACAATAAATACTGAAACACTGTGAAACAGTTAAAAATATTGATTGGATATTGATGGATATTGATTGGATATTGATATTGATATTGATTGGATATTGATGTGTTTGTTCAGATAGGTCAATACTACTGGTCAGTCTGAGATGCTGAGGCATTTCAAGGCAAAGTGACCAGCCTGGGACAACTTGGGTTGTAGGTCAGGCCCAGAAACAAACCCTGTCTCCTGACTGCCAAGTCAGTGCTTTATCAACAAAGTGCATTGCTCTTTAGTATGTTCATTTATAATGCAGATTAGGTGGATGAGAGGGAAATTTAATCATTTAGAATGACTAATAACTATGCTAATGTGTTCAGATAAAATAAGCATTCACATATGCTGAAAGCCTTTATAGTGTAATAAACTTCTGTTATCTTTTGAGGCGTGTAGTACTTTGATTTTCATATACCAACTCCTTTTTATTTCAAGTGCAGTAAAAACATTTATTTTAAAAAGACTGCAAAGCTCAAGACTGCTGAACCTCTTTTCAGTAGTGCTTGTGTGAAGTGCTGACAAACTACTCAGAATAGTGGGCTCAGCGGTTTGGGGTTTCTTTAGTTTGCTGGGTTTTTTTGCTCTCTGACAAAGTGTGTCAAACCAATTTGAAGACTTGGACTTCAGAGATGGTGAAGAGCTTTGAGGATATTGATTTCAATGACTCTGTATAGAAACACTAATCCTCTTGGAAGTTACTTTTATTTTTCTGCATATGATCAAACATATTTTGATCCCCTGTCTAGATTTCTATTGTTCTTCCACATAAAATAGACACATTTATACAACATTTTAAAAAGTTTTTTCTCTGCTGTTGCAGGGCCTGTTGCTAATGACTTGCCATGATCTCTGGTACAATGTGCGACACTCGCAGCTTTTCCTCTGGCTGCAGTTCCTCTGTTATATCCTTCCCGCTGCAGCCACAGACACCAAAGTTATAGCTGCTGAGGTGCAGGTCAGGCTTAATGTTTCAGGAAGCAGATCTCTTTTGCCTGAAAACATCTCCAAGTTGTTGATGGTGCAACCAGCACAGAAGGTCAGCCCTGTAGCCTAGCAGCCTGTTTTATTATGGCACAGCCTTGACATCCTTGGGGAAAAACATGATGCTGTTTTTTTACTCTTGTGCTGCACTGTGTTATGGTTCTCCTGTATGGAGCACTTCAAAAGCAGAAAAGTAAGTGAGAAGTCATGGGAGAAAATAATCTCAGAGCGATACAAAAAAAAGAAGCTAACATTCACTATTCATTTCAACCTGCACTGAAAATGATTCTATTCAGTTTGGAGAAAATCAACTGTCTTGTAAGAAAAAGGAAGTAGACCAAATGCAGTAATATTATTTGTTTAGTCTTCTTCCCTTGAGCAGAATGAAATATCAAAATACCCTGTCTATAAAAGGAGAGAATCACCTGGTAGGAGGCAATAAATGACCTCATATTAGAGACATCGTCAAGACCAATGGAAGGTCTTGGGGCCTGTTTTTCCCTTTCAATAGGACAATGAAGGATAACTAAAATAAAAAAACTATAAAGCAATGGTGTCTCATTCTGGATTAAAGCACGAGCCTCACCAAAAACATTAGAATAAGATTGTGCCCTAAAAGAAGACATGGGGCCTCTCTACCCAGTTGACTTTTGTGAATGAGCACAGAGAGCTCTATAAAGGGATGGCTGCCAGCCCAGGGAAGGCACAAGTGCTGTGAAGGGCATCATCAGGGAAAAATTAGAAGATGAGTCTACTGAAGCTGAAGTAGAAAACAGAAGGAAGGCTGACTGGGAAAGTGCAAATCTTAGATAGTTTGTCAGAAAAATTGCCTACCTGTTCCCAGCTCCGTGGTGATGCACGGGTTATATTTGGCACTTGAGATTTTGTCATTCGCACTCCACTAAGTATTTGCTTGTGAGAACCTGTATTTATATCACAAGGTTAATCAGTCATGCTGCAAAGCAGTGCCACAGAATCAACATGAAGGGACAGACACGTCCAAGTCTTTAAATACTCACTGCCGATATTTTCTAAGCTGACCATGAAATCCAGATTCCCATAGCTGTATTCTTTACACGGAAGAGTGATGGAAAATAAAGGGTGATGGAAGAATTTTTTGTATCTAGCATTTCCCTGCAATCATGAAAATAGCCAGGAGGGCAGACAGCACGCACAGGCAGAGGCTATGCTGCCGCAGGAGCTGGGAGTGCCGGAGCAGCCCGTCCCGGCACGCCAGGCTGGATGCCTCGGGCTGGTTAGAGGCTTTACAGCGGACAACTGGGTTACGTTCCTCATCTGGCATAGGCTGAACCAGTGTAGATAACAGTCCTCATCTCCTTTTTTCAGATCCTTAGCAGAAATGTCATAGATAAGTGCAAGGTGTGAGTATTTAGGAGGAACATTTCCTTATCTTTTAATTAAGAATGTTACAGAGGTGTTTGGTTTTGGGTTTTTTTTTCTTTTTGCAAGGTAGGTAAAATAGTAGACTTTTCCAGTCTAACCTTTTAAAACTCAGGCATGTGATATGTGGTGAGAGCCCTGAGAGGCATTTAAATTATCTCTTTTGAGACCTTTCCATGCTTATTTTAGTTTCAATAGAATTGGGTCTGTTCCATATGTCCTGATTCACTACAGGATGCTTTTCTTGTTGGAGGAGTGGCTCTGTTTGATCAAGATGGTACTGACCTCATTTGTGAAATCAAGTATCAACTCAGTGTATGGGGAAGTGTCTTCCTAGCACAGCTTCTAACAAAAAATCTTGAAAAAGCAGTTCAATACAGCTTCTATTAAGAGTAAGCCAGAAAAAAAAGTACAAACCTTATGTAATGTCCTATCCTATAGACATTTAATTTTCCATTCACCTGATAAAAATTTTAATCAGAAAAAACTCTCATTTGAAATAAGAGCACTATCATATTTTTAACACTCTTAGGCTTCTGCTGCTATGAGAATATAAGATGCTGAAATTGTAATAGTAAGACTGCATAGTTCTTGTTTTTATCTTTGTGAGTGAGAAAAATTCTACATAGCTATTATCTGCATGTTCCCATACCCTATTCACAGATAGGGAAGCTAAGGGAGGAGTTTTACTCCATCATAACTGACCAGACATTATCAAGGTGTATATGCTATGTGAACAACTCAGCCCTCCCTTATTTTAACAGGTGTAATGTTTGCAAAGCTATGGCCTGAATGGTAAAAATATATATCTGAGGTATCCTTAATTAAGAGCTGTAAAAATATTGGTTGACTACAGGCTATGACTATATTTAGATACATGTTTCCCTGAAGAATTCGATCACCAGGGTAAAAATATTAAGTGTTGGTTTATAACATTGCTGTTTCCCTTTTATTTCCTCCTTCATGTGCATGTGGAATAGGAGAGAAGGGCTGGGGATAGGCTGAGGAGGGGATGATGTGTCCAGGTAGATCCAGTGGCTTAGCAAGAGGGTATAACACACTCTCCCTGCTTAAGAAAACTTTGGGAGAATTCAGTTACCCCTTGTGGCCCAAGGTCAGCCTGCACCAGCAGTACAGAGCCACACAGGTTAAATTGAATCTTTACCCTGGGCTTTTTCACCTGGAAAAGCTGCCATGGCAGTCAACTGGCACTTGCCTGAGAAATCTGTTCTGAGGGACACACAGATTTGTGCAATTCTACGCCCAGACTTGCTGTCGGGGGAACATCATGTGCATTTCTACTGCCTGAAACAAAATGAACCCCTGGAAAAAACACAACATAACTTCAGCCAACACACAGCCATCAGCAAAACATGCCAGGGCGGACACACTTGAGCGGTGCAGCAATGTCAGCAGCTGTGGGCTGTGGGCTTCTGTCCACCACTCCTGCCAGTGCACAGTCCCAGCACGGCCACGCAGACACGTGCCCAGGTGGCGCAGCCTCACAGCAGCTGTGATCTGGAAAAAAGTCCAAGGGAACAACTTTCTGGCATGGATGGGTAGACTCTGTCTAGCCTGCAGCAATGAACATGGATGGGAGTTAGCTAGTAGGAAAAAGTGAGCAGCAGCATTTTTTTGTATCAGCAGCTGGAAACAGAGAGGCCACGTGGGCCGTTACTCAGCTTAAGCATCCTATCCAAACTCTGCTTTAAAACAGGGAAAGTAGGAAACATGCCTAAAATCTGACAAATGGTGCAGAGGACTTCCCAGAAAAAGTACCTGGAGAAGATATGCACAGTCATCCACCCTCATGCTTTGGGAGGCTGTCTGCTCACTGAGTGTGGGTAGGGAGGACTTCTCATGGTACAGCACTGCATAGACAGTAAAGATCCTGGGCTTTTACACTCTTGTGCAAAGCATCCAGGTTTGACCACTGTTAGAGGCAATATAATACCCTGCTACAGATGGATCCATGGCACACTCTGCTATGGCAATTTCTGCTGCAGTGAATTTCCAGGAACATGGGAAGTTGCATTAATACCGGAGCTACGGCAGCAACAGCCACAGCAACAACTCCTCAGAGTTGCTCATCCCAGCTGTTAGAGAGGGACTGCAGATGCTTTCTGCCTTATTTTCTGTTGCTGTTTTTAAATGTAGGAGATGCACATGATTAAATGGTCTAGATCTGGACATCGTATTTTAATCTCAGGGTGTGTGTCAGAGACAGGCAGAATGGATTAGTTTCTGAATTAGTATTTGTAACAGTTCTACAAACAGACAAATTCATAGTCAATGTTTCATTTAAAAGCCTCTTTAAAGAGTTTAATTGCCATATGTTGAAAAATCTAATCTTTAAAGGAGCCAATATCTAAAAGCTTGGCTTACTTCTCAAATGTGTCAATTGATATTTTCCTTAATTTGACCTATTTATCTTAAAATATTTATAATCTGTTAGGGGGACATTCATAGCTAAATGTCCAATTTAGTTTGTTTGTTTTTTAAATCTGCCGTTCTGTTGCCAAGAAATTAAACAAACAGATGCCACTCTTTTTTGAGGGGCTCCATTAAATACAATGTCTTACCCACCATCTGCTGAATCTGCAGCAGCAATTAACAGCTACACGCTATTCCCAGAGCAGAGCTGACAGCAATTGATGGTGCTGGGATCCTGGCAATTTCTCCTTCCTGCTCCTCACCCTCTCTCTTCCAAGTACCTATAATGCAATATTTCCTCATAAAGGACTACGTCTGCTGAGAAAAAAAAAGGAATTCATCCACTGTGATGGATGAAAGTCCTTCTCAGGCGTTACACTTTTTGAACATATTTTGAGCATATTCAACAATAGTAACTGAGCCGATAGATTTCTCCAAAGGCCACGTGAGCAAAGTTTTTCTGACGTCTTTTTGGACGGGTCTCCTCTGCAACAGTGCACAGCTGCTGTGAGGAGCCAGGGGCCAGGGCTGCATACAGGCTCTTCCCAGGGCTGCATACAGACTTTTCCCTTCTGCATCACCGCTTTATCCCACTTGAGTGGGAAGCCATTGAAAATTGCTACCTCTGTTTGATATCGAAACACCTGGGAAGGCTCAGCCTAGTGAGCAACCATGAATCATGAGCACTGAGTGCAATTCATGTCCATTGTCTGGCAGTCAGGTAACTGGCTTTGTACCAGTAAAAACTCTTGGAGATTGAGTCTTTTATTGGCAAGTGGCCTTCTTTGTCACAGGATAACATGGAGTGTTTGGGTTCCTTTTACTGACTGGGGTGTCAGCCTTCAGCCTACAATCCAGGCCTTTCTTTTATCTGAGCTGATAGATTAGCAGCCAATTCCAGTTGTGCCAGGGGAGTTTTAAATTGGTCATTAGGAAAATTTTCTTTACCAAAATGGTTGTCAAGCATTGGAAGAGGCTGCCCAGGGAAGTGTTGGAGTCACCATCCCTGGAGGTATTTAAAAGATGTGTAAATATGACGCTTAGGGATATGGTTCAGTAGTGGACTTCTCTGTGCTGGGTTAACTTGATGATGTTAATTAAAGGTCTTTTCCAACATAAGCAGTTCCATGATTCTGTGATTACTTACACTGGAAAATAAGAGCTTCCCTGGACTTTTCATCAGTGTTTATGGTGATGGCCCTGTGGCTCTTCCTGGGCTATTGGACCTGGCTGTTAGTTATGCTGTGCCTGGCAGCAGTGGGGGCTTCAGGGAGCTTCTCAAGGCTTCTCAGAGGATTTTTAAAGCACTAAAAGGCAATTAAAAATCTGTGTACCTGAGGCTTCAGGTTTCTAATTGATGCAGAAAGTCCACTTGCAAATAGACTAGCCTGCCTACTCTCATAACTTCTGGCACACATCCTTACAACTCTCCCATGTCAAGATCTTCTTTAAAAGACCATAAGCTTCTTCCAAGGGATATATTTGTACAGTATTATCTGAGAGAAACTCTTGATGATGCAACAGTGTATTGCTTTATTTTCAACAAGTTATTTGCATTGCTGCCATGGCTGAAGGATTTCTGTGCCTCTCTCTGTCAGGCCTGTAGCCTGTCCACAGTACAACTGGTTTCTTTTCCAAGGCAAAAAGGAAATAAAGGGACATCAGAGTTTAACATTTCAGATGCTCAGATTAGCCACAGTGTCAGGATAGACAGGTGTACATTATTTTGGAAATTAAAAATTCCATCCTGACAATAAATCTGTATAGTAATTATCCTTATTGCCCTGTATGGTGACCATCTGTAAAGGCAATCTGAACTTAGAAAGGGCATCTCATAAATCAGGTGAGATTTAAAATCTTCCAATAGTTTGTAAATCTGCCCAGGATTTAGGGATTAATTGAAGAGCAGACAGCTTAATACATTAACCTTTCACCTCTGTAGTCCTAGGTTCAAAAGCTGACTTAGGTCAAGAAGTAAAAAATTAGATTGGTGATTTTGTGTAAGTCCTTACAAACGCTGGGGTTCAGGAGAGCCTGGTTAGCACTGCTCACAGTGCCCTATTCTCTCAGCAAGAGTTTGCTTTGAGAGTTGCATGCGTCTTGTTTGCTCCTGGTACTCTACTATGAGGTTACTAACTTAAGAGTAAAGTCAGGTGCCTGAGAAGAACTGTTAGTAGGCTATGGTGGCTATAAGAGAGGTCAGGAAGCATCAAGGACAGTCCTAAGTAGTTTGTTCCTTAAAGTTGAGTCAGATCATTGAAGAAATTGCGGGGATGCTGGGACAGGTGAGGCTG